TTACTGTATGTATTAATCTGTTTCCGCCTTCCGCATGTAAAATACCGCGTGCCGTTATCGTCTATCTGTATATACGCCGCGACGGACCCCGTACTGTTAAATACCGCGCTGCGTTATCCCCGCCTCGGCGTGCCGCAGCCCGAGGCGAAGACTCGAGCCCCGATATTGCATATACCGAGTCGCATTGCACCGGCACTACCGGCCACTAAAACCTACCGCGTCTAAGTTTGTAATACCGAATCCGAGGATTGTATAATATATTTCATATCAGAATTTTGAATAAATTGTATGTTACTGTCACATGGCAAATTATCGTCTCTGGGCCTTTCATCGAACTCCCGAATCCTGTAAGCCAGTCCGCGTTCGATAAAGTCAGGCCGTTACAATTGTTATAAATATTGAAAGAAATCTAAAATTTTGTTAATCAAAACAGCGCTGATAAGCATGTACAATTTTTATTCAGAAGAGGGAAGAAGGTAAAACATAACATTGAAAATCATAAATAAAAACTTTATTGATTCGTCAATTTAAACAATTTTTTTTCACAACAAATTTTTTTGCGATTTTAAGATTTTTCTGGTAGGTATTTTGCCTCATTCTTAGCCGTATGTAATATATTATTGAATATAACACAATGTTTGAGGCGTGCTCTTTGCAAAAAAAGTAAATTTAAAAATAGACATAACTTCATCTAACGTGCAATCAAAAACATCGCGACGGGATATTTAGCAAAACATGCCTCTACGTGACGAATTAAGTTGATAAAACTCAAATTTGCGTGAATCAGTCTTCCTCTTGATTTCAGATCAACCAAATGCGACACTGAAGATGCACTAGAAGAGTCTGATTTTATCGCTTCTTAACAAGTAATGCATTTTTTGTGAATTTTCAATACTTGTTTACATAGGTAACCTGTGAATCCCATATAAATATGTAAAGGAGTATGTCGCATGTTCGGATGACATGCAACGAGAGGAAATGTTCTAGTCCACGATATATATGAACAAAACTAAAGCATGCAATAGCAATTCATGGCGAAAACGAGAAGCAATGTTAGTCTACAATACAAAGATATCTACGATAAGATTATAAGAAATAGATCTTAAAATAAAAAACCTGTAACGTAGTAAATAATACAGTCAAGGATAGGGGAATCGGACAGGGCATAATCGTGGTCAGGATTATTCTCAATGACGTCATTTGCCTCCCAATCGTCGTGCTGCAGAATCTCGTCTAGCTTCGTTCAAATTTCACGTTGATACTTAACACTTTTCGCCTCAGACTTTTACCCATAGGCTGTTTTTAAATCCTGCAATGACAGCAGAAGCTGTGGCGACGACTGTTCGGACACAGTGCGGTTTCCGAATTTTGGAGACTTTATGATGCTATACACCTACAATATTTTATACAGCTGCAAGAACGTGGGGCTGTGTGAGTGATCGTTACACTCTGTGACTTGACGAATGATGCCAAAGAAATTCTAGAAAAATCGTACGTACATGTACATTTATTTATTGCAAGTAATTATTGTATTAAAAAAGTCAATATAAATTGGAAAGTACCTCCAAGTTATCTTGATTAACTTTTCCTGTTAATAGATATTGGAAATCAAATTTTTCGATAAGATAACAGCACATATTCATAGTAGATCGCAGAAATATTCGCAACGCTTTTGAAGTCTCTCTTGTTAAATATTTATCAGCCGTTATTTCACCTTATTTCACCTTTTTGCAATGCCGTCTTCCACTCGTTTAACCATTCAAGAGATTTTTGCAATACCTGAAGTTATAAGATAACGCTTGTACGAAAGCAATTGTCGACGAAGGTAAACAAATTTTCGATAATTGATGATAAACTTTTCGAGAAGTATCAAATGCATACCTTGAAGTCTTTACTCTCCGGGATAACCCCTTCATTCGGAGTTTTGCTGTTCAACGCATTGAACATATCATTCATTTGTTTACAGAACCCGATCGTTTCCTGACATCCTTTCAGAGGTCCTTCTGGGTTATAGCGTAAATAAAAATTTAGCCTTTGTACCACAGAATTGCTAAAAACCTGTAACAGCGTAAATACAAAACACATTACTCACGAAATGGACAAACTATTTAAAAAAAGTAAAAACGTGAGTGGAACATAAACTACCTGTGTCGCGAGTCGAACGCGTATTTTCGAAGTGCTGTCTAACACAACGTGCCGTTGTGTTAACTTTGGACAGGCCCTCGCATTCCCAGCATGTTGGATGTCAAGGTTGAACAGAGCTGCGATGTAATCCCAACATATGTAATTGTTCGACGATTTAACCTGCGGAACCAAACACATAAACATTAATTTCATTGCGATGTATCAAGTAAGTTATGCTCTCGCGTCACTTTCTCAAAAAAAAATTTTTTTTTTTTAGGTCGGGTTTCCAGGGATACGTTAGTCAAGCAACTCTTTCCTTCAAGTAATGAAGGCATCATGAGGATAGGTTGTAGCTGGACGATGCTATCTGAGTACCACGATTCACGCAATATGTTTTCCTATCGAACGGTCGCCACTCGGTTTGACCTCTGACTACCGAGAAGGTAAGTATACATTAGCGTCTCGATTATTAACAAGACTTTAATTTTATTTTATTATTTCAGGTTTGATGCCCAAGATGGATCATCAGTGCTGCTGTGCTCCCCGGATCCTCGCATTATCGCATACCGGAGTGCTATTCACCGCGATTATTATTAACAATACTCTAATTTTTCTTCTGTTTCAGGTTCCTGCCCAGGATGGATCATCGCCGCTGCTGAACTTCCCCGGATCCTCGCTTCATCGCATACCGGATGGTCGCTGGACAACGATAGATCATCGCCGTTGGACAAGGTAAGTAAAAGGTAAGTATGTTTAAATAATCTTGGAATTAATTTTCACAAATAACGGTTCCTTTCATTTCAGGTCGTTGGTTATGATGTTACAATGTTTTTCGTATACATAAGTTTCCACGTCAGAGTGCCCCTTGCCGCTCGGGTATCACTCCAAGGTAAGTATATATACTCTTGCGTATAACATTAACGATTCTTTTATTTCAGATCGCCGTTTCAATGATGCAAGATGTTTCACAATTGCAAAGGTGGTTCACGTTGATTAGATCACGCACCCGTTTACGCCGCCTTTTACGGCTAACACTCCCCGATCACGTGACAGCTATGTGCCACTCGCTTATTTCGAACAATTATCGCGTTCACATAATTACGCGGGAGCTTCCGGTTGTTAATAACGATGTCCGTACTATGTCGTAGCCGTGAGACCCAATGTTCACGGTTGTAGTATACTCGATATGCACTTCCGTTCGCTAATGTTATATCCGAACTACTGACCTACGCTTTTGACAAACACTTTATTATTTAACGGTAAATCTGTACCCCTCGCTATTGTTGAACGAGTATTTAACGCGCAAATACGCGGGAGTTTCCGGTTGTTATATACAGTCAGGAAAACGTCCGCACGCTCCTACTGTATCCGAAAGACTGCCTCGAGAAATGGTGCTCGCTTCGTCTCCCCACTGTGCCGCGTCGCTCCCACTCTCGTACCTGTTATTCTCGCCTATTGTATTCGGCACGTACTTCTGGGTACGATCACGTTTCGCCGCATGACTATCACGCACCCGCCTAGTGAAATACTTCTAGAACTTTCTACCCGTGGAAGCTTCTCGACGTTTTTCGACGGATTTCTATACATCTCCTGGAGACGATTCGCCATGTTGATAGCACTTGACCAACTTGTTCGGGCGATAACGGGAACCTCTGCGCACGTTATGTTCCCGATGTCGCTTCCTGGCAAAGTTGCTCGGTTTAACTTTGCCTCGTCCGCTGACGACGCCGACCCCTCTGGCGTGTCTCCTAGATGATTTTAGCATTAATTCAGCCGACTGTTCCAGGAGAAGATGTCGGTGCCTCTTTTTTCTGGCGCCGTGAGTTTTTCTCGACGCCGACCTCATGGATGTGTTTACTAGGTCTCATTGAGCACGTCTACAGTGCTTGTTCCAGGAGAAGACGTTGGTGCCGCCAATTCCTAGCACCGTTGGGTTTTGACGACACCGACCTCATAGGTACATCTCTGGGGTGGTTCTAAACAGCACCCTGCCGCTTGTTTCAGGAGAAGACGTTGGTGCCGCCAACTCCTGGCACCGTTACCTGTGGATGACGTTGACTTTATGAGCGTGTTCCTGGGATGGTCCTAAGTCTCTCCATATACCTTGTTCCAGGAGATGACGTTGGTGCCGCCAACTCCTGGCACCATCACTTTATGATAACGCCAATCCTATAGGCGTGTTCGTAGAGTCCCTCTAAAACAGCTGTTTATGCACTTTATTCTAGGGGATGGTGCTGGTGCCCCGAACTCCTGGCACTGTGGTTCCAGGATGACGCCGACCCTGTAGGCGTGTTACTCGGCTTACTCTCAACAGAGCTGTGGCTTTTGTTCCTGAAGATGACGTCAGTGCTCTGAACTTTCTGCACCGCGCTTTCAGGATGGCGCCAATCGCGTAGGCGTATATATTAAGTGTCGTGCAATGTATTTCTAAGGTTTATTCCAGGCGAAGTCCTCGGTGCCTCGAACTCCTGGTTCCGCAACCCTACGTAGTAGCCGCTTTTACGGGCATGTGTTTGGTGCTACGCTAGTTCGTTTTGCATGATTGCTTCTTGTAGATTGTCGCGGTTCTAGCTTGTTACGCACGCTGCTTCCGCCGATTCGCGTGCGACGCGAGAAAATAACTCTTAACTGAATCAGATGCGAGAACCGTCTTAATAAAAATAAAAGTTGAACCGGCTTGATCAAAATGATAACCTAAACCTATGTATGCCGCGCTATATTGACGCGAGCTTATATCTACGCAGTAAACTTAACCTATTATTTACCTATCACCTAATAAAATCATATGCCATATGGGCCAAAAGAATACGCGCAACTTAAACCTAAGAGAGCAAAATGAACTATCTTTGTCAACTCCGTTGTCCTAAACTTAACGCGATACTGGAGGCATTGTCCGCTCTCTCCGTCATGCTCCCGCTCCGTTTCAGAAGCAGATAGGGGAATACTTCCGGGACTCTGAATCGGTGCTCGGGCTTTGGAAGCGCTCCGTCGACTGGCTCCTCTCCGACGTCGACTCCTCGGATGTGCTCTCGCTGGCCTCCGGCTCTCCTACGGGTACCTTAACGCGCTGCAACACGAGTCGCTGTAACCCTGCTCGTGGTTTGCCCGCGCTCGGGCCGCTCGAGGAAGTGCGCGGTCGCAAGGTAACAATGAGAAAAATGAGTCATGCTCTCGCGTGACTCTCTTTATAAGGGCCACTTCGACTAAACTCCGATTAACTTAATCGTTGATTAGTCCACTGGAAATGACCAATCGCATTTGTTAATCTGCTTAATGAGCAAATGCGATTGGTCATTTCCAATGGACTAATCAACGATTAAGTTAATCGGAGTTTAGTCGAAGTAACCCTTAATATTTCTTATGCCCGTTTCTACCATATTTGCTTTAACCTGCAGTTCAGCCAAACTTACGTTAGTTCTAAACTTCGGTTTAGTTCTGATAGGTTTCTACCAACGATACATATGCATAGTGAACGTTTAGCTAAATCTATAACTTGTATGTCCCAACTCAAAAACATACTAAAGATAGAACGTGATTGGTTTAATGTTGATTCTAAGGGATTGTGATCAAAGTACAAGAATTACATATAATATTGCGAGATTATTATGAATATTATTATTAAGTTGAAAATATGAACGCAGAAAGCAAGCGTAAACGTGCTGTAAATTTTACAGAAGCAGAAAAAGTTATTTTAACATATTAGGTGTTCCGATACAAAAATATAATAGAAAATAAGAGATCCGATGCTATAACCTCTAAAGACAAAGATAAAACTTGGAAAGTAATAGAACAATTATTTAATAGTATGTGTTCAATTAAATTTCGAAGTTCAGAAGTCTTAAAAAGTTGTTGGGATAATTTGAAGAAAAAAACAAGAAAGTTTTTTGCAGATAAAAAGATGAAATTTTATAAGACAGGTAAATGTTTAAAACTTTATACTTCTTTGTAACATATATGTTATCAGTTTAATTTTTGTAATAGGATAACTTTTTATTCATATACAATATTTTATATATCTAAATTAATAATTAAATCTTCATTTTAATATTGACAACTTCTGTTTAGTAGAAATTAAACACTAAAATATATTTGCAAACTTAATAATAAAAATATATACAATTCTTTTAAAATGCAATCTTAACATTAGGTGGAGAACCTTGTGAATCTAGATCAGATACACTTATAGACCGTGTACAAAAAATTATAAAATCTTCAGTTGATGGCTTAACAAGTACGTTTGATAGTGTTACGTCCAACCCCGGGATTAGGATATGAAAATCTGGGAAGCAAAGGAAAGGCTAGCCAGAGGGGTCGGGGGAAGGGAGGACGCAGCTAGATACTTACAAATGTCGCTCGCAGGTACGCGCTCAGAGACGCGTGGCGCGAGCCGAACGCACTTTTATGACTCAGAAAGGGTCAATGTCTGTAAAGACGCTAGGACGCCTTTCGTGAGCGGTGCGATCGTCGGTCCTTTTTCGAGTCAGAGAATTTAATCCCTTTAACTCAGGATCGGACCTCGTGCAATTTCGAGAGGTGGATGGTACTGAGGATGAGGTCTCAATTAAATGAAAAAAACAGTTGAGTTTATCTTAGAAATAAATAGAACATTTATTACAAATTAACGTAGAATTTACTAATGACATTGAGTAAAGAAAATCAGGCGATGGTACAAATAATAAATAAATCCAGATAAAGAGTAAATGTATTAAATGTAGGTGTAATATGTGTGTGTATTTCTCGCGGGTAATACATAGGTGCGGGGGTGATCGGGCAAGATCTTTAAGGAAAAACCTACTTGATAATGAACATCCTGCCCGCTATCATTACAATCGGAATCAGTAGTGAGATTACATGAATTTAGTGAAG